AGCCGGATTCATTTTGGCCTCTGTTTGGTGTTCACTCTTTGAAGGAGCAGCAAAGGCTGACAATTCTCTCTTGCAAGTGCAGCTGACAGTTCCATAATGACCTGTGAACAATCCCAGGGAGGCAGCAAGAGTTGCTATCTCGGGATGACAAATCTGGGACTCGTGAATCTTGTTCATGTAAGTGTGACCCCTTAAGCTAGATTTCACGTGATTTTTTCCTCCCACCACTCCCAACAAGCCTATAATTTGCTGTTTGCTGTTGGAGTTGATGCGGTAGAGCTGCAAGTGTCTCAGAGTTTCTCACAAGGCTAAGTTTCATGTAAATCTCGCCACAAAATGAGCTGGGGGAAACACACACACAACACAGTCTGGTATAACAAATGTAGTTGCATGAATTACTCGTCTGGTGTAGTGGTTAAGAGCGCAGACTCTGATCTTGAAGAACTGGGTTTGATTCCCTACTCCTCCACATGCAGCTGCTGGTGTGACCTTGGGTCAGTCACAAGTTTTCTCAGAGCTGTTCTCTCAGAGCTCTCTCAGCCCCACCTACCTCAGAGGGTGTCAGTTATGGGGAGGGGAAAGGAGATTGTAAGCCACTCTGAGACTCCTTTGGGTAGTGAAGGGCAGGGTATAAATCCAATCTCTTCTTCTCTTCTTCCTCCTGGAACCACTTTAGGCCTGATTTTTTCTCATTGATTTAGATGAGTTTAAGTCACAAGGAGGTAACAATCACTCTGTGATCATCACATGGTGAATGTCCTCTGCGATTTATCAGCACACGGGGAAGCGTGAATTATTACATGTTCTGGAGACTCAGAACTTGAGAGAAACTCAGAGTTAACATAATAATTTGAGTTTTTACCTGTATTCCTGGAGATTTGGGGGCAAACCCTGGGGAGGGTGGATTGTGGGGAGGGGAGGCAACTCGTAAGGGATATGATCCCCTAGAGTCTACCACCCAAAGCCGCCATTTTCTCCTAGGGAACTGACCTGTGAATTATGGAGATCAGTTGCAATTCCGGGATAACTTCAGGCCCCACCTGGAACCTGGCAACAACCCTACCTCGATTTAAGAAGAACCAAGACCTTACATGTCAGTGGCTCAAACATTAGTAGCCCAGGAGCTTCAGCCAGGAGCTACTTGGTGTGACACAGGTATGTGTCACCACTCACTGAGGGACTACAGCTGTCTTTTTAATAGGCTTGTATCTTTTACAGTTCTCCAAGGAGAGCATTAACTTGGGAATGCAGCAGAGTCTCCTTTCAGCTGGCAAGCTTCCAGCTCCCCTGCTGTGATCCTTTTCCTCGCAAGAAATGTAAATGTCAACTTAAGAAAGCCCTTTTACTCTCACCAAGGCCAAGAAAGAAACTGCCTCTTGGAAACCAAGGGTGCCATTTAAAAGGGTACAAGACACAGTCACTCCAGCTGGCTGGTTGGTTAGGAATGTGGGAGGGGGGGATTAGAGATCTTTCGGGCTCTCTCTTGTGTGTATCTGAGACCGTTGTTAACATGGGGTAGAAAGTCAAAAAGAACCACTGTAGTTGTACGGTAGATTCCAGCCACATCAGCTTTGTAGATTCAGTGGAATTCTGGTGAGTTCCAAGAGAGGGCATGGACTTGGCAAGGAGAGAGGGAGAAATAACAAGAGGGGCTTTCCTTAAGAAAGCTGCCAGTCTAAAATAGCTGCTTATTTTCTCTTAGCCTCGCAACTACTGGCTTCATATTCATACCACAGAAGTAGGAAAGGCAGAAACCAATTTAAGCTTCGTGTGTGAAAACTGACAGCCTTTCAGAGGCTGTTTGTGTGGATCAAAAATAGGGGAAGATGCTGAATTCTGTGGCATCCCACATCTGTATTGGTTCTGGGGGTGGGCTCATTTTTAGAAAAATACAACAACAACAGCATCACCCAAATTGGAGCATCACCCAAATGGAATCTGGAATGGTCCTGTGAGGTCCCAGAAAACTGTTGAACTTTGCTGATCCAGTGGCTGAGGCTTCCAGAATATTACAGCTAAGCATCTGCATGTATATCCCACTTTTCTCCCCAATGGACCGAAAGCCGCTCAGAACGTCATTCTTCCCTCCTCCATTTTCTCACAACAAGAACCCTAGGGGCAGATTGGGCTGAAAGAATGCAAGTGGCCCAAGTTCACCCAGTGAGCTTCCATGGTAGAGTTTGGATTCAGACTCAGATCTCCCGGGACCCTAGCCCAGCACTCTATCCACTAAGCCATGCCAGCTCTCTCTATGCCACGACAGAGAGAGCATCACCAGCATCCCCCCAATGCACCTGGGATACACTTTGGGACCTGCTTTGGATTGTAGATCTAAGATGGTAGAATCCCATCCTGGAATTGTGCTAAATTAGTTTATGCCACCTCTGCTAAAAGAGTAGTTCCATCGGCCCCTATCAAAAATGGTCAGTACACTGATGTTGCTGGTGTACTCAGTATACCACAAGTGTATTGACCTCAGGAAAACTGTCTTAGAACAAATCAGAGTTTTTGCCCAGCTAGTTCAGTTTGGTCAGCTCAGATTGGCAGCAGTTCTCAAGGGTCTCACCTTACATTTCAGTGTAATTGGAGAGGCTTCAGATTGAACCTGGGATTTCTTGCATGCACAGCAGATTCTCTGCCACTGTGCTATAACCCCTCCCCAGCATCAATGAAGCTGCCATGCACTGAGTTAGACCACTGATCATTCTTATCTAGTATTGTCTATTCTTACTGGCAGTGATTCCCCAGGTCCTTGATCTTTCTTAGCCCTGCTAATCACAACCTTTAAACTCAAAATGCTGGCAATTCCCCAGGTACCAAATCTCTCAAATTTTCGGTACCAAGCGAACACATTCCTTCTTAATCTCAGTTTTTTGTTGATGCGCATCTTGGCTAAACAACTTCGTATTTTACCCATGTTGCCTCTAATAGTTTAGCACTTTTTAATATTTTTAACATCTGTTAATCACTGTGATTGCTGATGAAAGTTTGCACTGAAATACTTTCACCTTTAATATTGATTTTATTTCTGATGTTTAGGGATGGGCATGAACTGAGAAAAGGTGGTTTGGTTCGTGGTTCATGATGTGCCCCATTCATGAACCACAAACAGTCACAAATGTTTAGTCGCCTTTCGAACCAGTTCAGTTTGTGAGATTTGTGAGGTGGTAGAATGGGCCCTCCAGTGTGCTAGAGACACCAAACCCGCAGGGAATCTCCGGCTGACTCTCCTCTACCTGTCATCCAAGTTTGGTGAGGATTGAATTTACAGGGCCTGAGTTAGCTCCCCCCAAAGCAGGTGCCCCCAGGAAAGTGCTTTTCCCCAGAAAACACTTTCCTGGGTGCATCTTCTTCAGGGGGCCATAACTCAGACCCCATAAATCCAATCCTCACCAAACTTGGAGGGTAGGTAGAGAGTCATCTGGAGATCCCCCATGAGCTTGGTATCTATGGCTTTCACAGGACCCATTCTATATACTCGTGAACCTCCTGAACCTGCCCCTGTCCAAATGATGGTCTTTTTGGCAGGTGCAGGTTCAGGAGGATCAGGAGAGTACAGAATGGATCCCGTGAAAGCCAGAGACATCAAACTTGGAGGGCATGTAGAGGAGCATCCAGGCGAGGTCCATAGTGAATTTGAGGTTTCTAGCTTGTACATGATCCATTCTATACACTCCTAAACCTCCTCAACCTGCGCCTTTCAAAATGACTGAGGTTCACGAGTGTATAGAACGGATCCTGTGCAAACTAGAGACATCAAAATTGCAGGGGACTTCTCCCGGATGCTCCTCTACATGCCTCCCAAGTTGATGCTTTGAAGTTCTGTAAACATTCTGATTGAATGGAGACAGTCTGTCTAGAAATGTCTTTGCTCACAAACTGGCACAAACCTCCATGAACAGACTGAAAGTTTGTGGAAAGTTCATGCTGAATGACCTGTCACTAACTTGACTTCACGAAGCATGACCCAGCCAAAATTCATCACAAACTTTAGTTTGTGAGCTAGTTTGTGCCCATCCCTACAGATAATTACTTATAAATGTTAATACTGCTGACAGTTGTAACTCTTTATCATTTTACTGATTATTTGATTATTACTTTTTAATCACTACTTTTGGTTTTAGGATGCTAATGGAAATCTGTAAGCTATCCCTGAAAACTTTTAGATGAGCTTATGGGATAATTAAAATAATGTAACATAAAATGCATTATTCAATACCAGATCCTTGCGACCTTTAAGCCAATACAGCAGAAGAGTGGAATGATGTGAACTGCTTCTATTTGGAGGCCACAGTAGCGATATAAGGTGTTGTTTGCGTTCTTTACCTCCCAGTTAGCCTCTTCTCAGAAAGTCATAACAACCACCAATATTGGTGGCCGTTGCACTAATTTCTCCTTCATCTTCCACCCAGGAAAACACTGGTGGGAACAACTATTCACTATGGAACCATCAGCTGTCGAGATTTCCATTTTATATATGTTTGTACTAATAAAGAAAATTTAATTTAAAAAGTTACCCAAGTTCATCTTTGTGACATTGGAACTTAGCAAAACTCCAAATAATTTAGTCTCTCTCTCTCTCTCTCTCTCTCTCTCTCTCTCTCTCTCTCTCTCTCCTTGAAAAATTAAACCATTGGTTTCAAGTGGGTTAAGGTTCAAGCATGCCATTTTATCTTGTCTTTAGTGCAGGAATTTGGGCTTCAATGGTATATTTAACTGGAATACGAAAGCACAGCTCTTTTGCATGATCAGCAGTGTTACTAAACGTATACATGGCTCCAGATCACAAAAAGGCAGATTCCTACTCGGCTCACTTTGATGCTGCACTTAGAAGCAGAAGGTATAGAGAGTATTTATTTTTATATGCATACAAAGTACTTGTGCACAGTGTAGCATAGCCCAGCCCTCTCATCACCTCCTACCATAGTCAAAGGGATCCTTCAAAGACAGGAGAAGCTGCAGCTGAATGTTTAAAAGGGCAAGTCCCACAACACACTCACCTGCTGGCTCTCTTGATAAGGGGGAGGAGGCACAGTCTGTGTGGCCATCATTGTCAGAGCTGGCGCTGGGGAGACATGTTGCATCATGGGATTGATTCACATCTAGAACCTGTTGGCAGGAGAAAGTTCAACTTGATTAAGGGACCAAAAGAACGCCTCCCTGAAAACGAAACCAAACCCTAAACACAAAGCCAAACCACATCAAACTTAATTCCATCATGAAAGGATACAGGAAGATGGCAAAGAGTTAAGATCTGATGGACGATTATAAACACATTTCTCCTTTTTTCCATGAGCACAGCAAAGCTTTCTCTTTGGTTATCATTATAAGGACCTGCCCACCAAGGACAACCAAAACATCTGCTTTTCAAGATTACTTGCTTAAGCATGTTTGACGCATGTCAGTTATGCCAACCGAACAACCCCTCATCCCTGCAAAAATGACAGGAAAGGTTGCACTGGAATGGTTCAGATTGTTACAACCATAGGGAGAGAAGCTTCCCACAAAGAGGATATTCCATGGAATGATACTGATCACATGGCCCTTTTTTCCCCTCAAATGGCAACAACATATTACTCAAGACAAATTCAGTCTCTCCAGGTGAACTTGCACATTCATGCTTAATCAGATCAGTTAAGTGCTTATTTACACATGTGAAACAGGCCTCAAGGCCCAAACACCCGCTAAGATGGCTTATCACGTCAAACACAGTACTTTACAACTAGAAGTAATTCAGACATTCATCTGTGATTCAACGGTTGCACCCAGACAACCCAATAAATCATGTTTTGTAAACTGTGGTTTAATCAGGCCTTGGCACAGTTGTGACATTAAAATGCAAACAGGTGACCGAGGTTTTTTGGCACTTAATTAAGATATCAAACCAGGGTTTGCAGCTGGTTTGTCAACCACTGTATTAATTACAGGTTTCTGAGGTTTCTGAATTCACAAGCTTATTGAATAGCACCAACCCTCATTGAAAGGGCAGACTGCCATAGAGGCAGGATCTCTTCCCTGCTGGGAGGTGGGAGAGAAACCACAAGCAGACAAACCAGGATTTATAGAGAAACCAGGACTAACTTACCAATGGTGGGCTGTTTGTTGCATGGTTTAAATAAGCTGGAATACCATGATGTCTGAATACAGCTACCAACAGATGTACAAAGCACCTGAGAATCAAACTTAGTTTTTCTTGAGAAACCCTCCAATTTACCCACTCTTTCATTTTTTGCCTACAACTCATGTCAGAATGATGGCAGAATAAAATACTGAGACTTCATTGTCTTTCATCAACAAAGAAAAATCTCCCTGGTTTTCAAGGTCTGTTCTAATTAATATCTATGGCACCAGAGCTCCTCCACTATTCCCTTAAGACTTGGGTTTAAATTATCTACTCTTGCTGATTCAAAGTTTAATTTTAGCTGGTGTGGCTCAATGTCCTTCGTAGTTGGTAAAGGGGTTTATTTGTTATTAGTTTTATATAGCTGCATCCAAGAATATAGAATCTGAACATAATTAGATTCCTGTGCTCAAAGTTTACAATTCTGAAACTAAAAATAGGGAAAGCAAGGGAGAGGGAATTGTGGAGTGAAGGTTTATAAATGTTACATTCAGGGCTAATTCAGACAATATTTGGTATGGAAGGGACACTTTTATAAAGAATATGGCCAACATATGAGCATAGAAAGTTACTAGAGATCCTTACTCCAAGGCTACTTCATGACTAGGGTGTGATCTTCCTTGCTAGGAACTGGCCCTGGAATGAGTGCAATGAAACAAAGCTAATGTGGGCCCCGGTCACACGGGCCAGATAACGCGGGGGGGGGAAGCGTGGCTGTTCGCCCCGGAGCAAAATAAAGCACAGTAGCCTGATCACATGGTCCCCCGAGTCTCCGCGCTTAGGCTGTTAGCTGGCGATCACACGGCAATGCTGGAGCATGGCAAAGAAGCGGTGCAGCAAGCATTTCGCGTTTGTGCACATGCGCAGTTCCGCGGAGCAGCACTGCTTTCAGTTACGTGTTTGTGCGCATGCGCTTATGAAAAACATCCGGTTTGCGACAGGATGTGGACGGGCGCCGGATACTAGTGTTCCCGCGATCAGATGCCCGCCCTTGCTTTCCATTTTCCAGATACTAGTGCACTTTCCGTGGTACTTTTTTACTGTGCATCTTCGGCGGGATGCCACGGGTGCGCTACGCTTCCCAGATGTTGCTGTGTGATCGCGCCCCGAAAATCCACCTGACATTCGTGCTTTTAGCGCAGCAAATCCTCTGTGTGACCGGGGCCATGGAGTAGCAGTTAGGGTGCCACACTAGAATTGGGGAGATTCGGAGTTTAAATCCCCATTCACCATTGAAGCTTGCTGAGTGTCCTTGAGTCAGTCACTCTCACTCAGTCTAATCTCTTTTTTATAAGGCTGTCGTGAGGAAACAATGAAGGCAACAACTGTGCATGCTACCTTGATCTTCTTGGAGGAAGGGGGGAATTTGACAAGGAAGGGAGGGTGTGACAAACTGACCTCTTGCAGCTAGGGTTGCCAAGTCCTCCGTGGAACCAGCGGGGAGTAGGGCTGTAGCGTTGCCAGTTCCAGGTTGGGAAACTCCTGGAGATTTGGGGGTGGAATCTGGGAAGGACAGAAACCTCAGTGGGGTACAACACCATAGAGTCTACCTTCCAAAGCGTCCCTTTTCTCCAGGGGAACTGATCTCTGTAGTCTGGAGATGAGCTGCAATTCCAGGGGATCCCCAGGTCCCACCTGGAGGCTGGCATCTCTACTTGCAGATAATGTTCCTCTGAACTATTGCAGAGGCCAGGCCATGTCAGATGACCTGGTCTGGCCTGTTATTTCTCAGGAGGCTCTTGAAGTTCTGGAGAACCTTCGTGCTGTTCTCTTATTTAACTAGAGCTGAGCTTGTATCCCCAGGATGGGGCGCTGATGTGGGGCGGGGATCTGAGAACTTGATGCAACAAAACATGAGAAGTCTCACAAAAAGAGCAGTTACAACCCCACCCCATTCCAATAATGGGAAGCAACCTCTGTACATAGGCAGGAAACCACGTTTTGTTAATGCAGACTGTAGAGCTCACATACTCTGGATTAAGGCACACGACTCTCATTTGACTTAATTAGGGTTTACATTTTTTTCCATTTAAATAATGGCAGTGGATCTTTTAGTTCTGAATACAGCTGGACTGTGGTTTCTGCCCACTACCTACTAAAGCTTTGAACATTTTGGTGTTGTTTACGCCTTAGATCAGTTTTGACTATTATTAATAAAGTACATTTTGAAAACAGGGTTGAAAAACAATGAGCTCATTAAAAGTAGCGTTCATTAGAACTTGTTGACATTAAACCCATTAGACCAATTAACATTCCATTAAGTGGAACCGAGCCTTCCTTGGAGCATCAATGAGTTAATTCTGCATCATGATAATTGCTCCACCAGCGCCTGAGAGGTGTATTCTCAAATGCGGGAATTAACGACAGACACTCCCTCCCGAGAAAAATAAACCAGGACTAATTGTGAAGCCTTAAGGCACTTGGGCTAGGCAACCAACGGACCGACATCCTCTTCCTGGCACGGAGCAGCATTTTTGGCTAAAGCCAATGTTTCTAGCAGATGTGAATGTTGACAGCTTGTGCTTAGAGGATGTGAAGCTCGTGGGAACGTGCAAGTTTTTAAGAGGAAAAAGGAAAGAAGTTTGTGATTTTTCTATGAGTGGTGCTAAATTCTGATGTCACAAAAATGTGGCTGGACAGCTATTCTCCAAAACAGAAAGCATCTGACTCCAAGGTCTCATTTTCTCCAAGCTGAGCATTTGAAAAGGAAAGTCATAAATTCTTTAGAGTTTAATTCATCTCTAGTTAATATAGTGCTAATGAATTCCTGGCTGAAAGCCCACATAGCTCTGAGTGTAGATAACAAATGCAGTTTGGCTGAAACTCGAAGCATACTTACTAGGAAGCGAGTTCAGAGGGACTTACTTCCAAGTAAACACATATTGAATTGGGTTCTTAGGGCTAGACTACACATTATGTTGCTTTAACCTGAAAGAAGAATTATGCTGAGTGAAGGGAACAATCTGGATTGGGACTGCAGCACTGGGGCAAGGGTGTAGTGGACCTTTTTCACCATGCCGATTGCCCCAGGGAAATGGCCCATAGAAGCTTGGCCATGGACCACTTCTGTTGGGCAAATGGCATGGTGAAAAGGGTCTACACCCTCATGCACCAGTGCCTGGCTGGGGAAAACAAACAAGTATCCTTCCTCTACCACTGTGACCAGTAGCAACTCAGGGTAGCAATGGTGGGTTGGAACTGGGAAAATGGCACGGAAGGAAAGAGCTAACTTACCCCCATGCTAAAAATTGCATGTGGGGAGGCACACCTACTTTTTAAAACTACTTTTAGGAAGATCCAGTCTTGCATTGCCAACTTAATGTTTATTTCAGCTCCTACTCTGAGAAAACACAAAGAAGCTATTTAATAACAAAATTATCTTCCACCGGCTTGGATCGCAGCCCTTCTTGGAAAGCAATGACCTTGCCACAGCTGTCCATGCTAAAGTTAGATTACTGCAATGTGCTCTACGTAGGGCGGCCTTTGAAGACCCCTTGTAAGCGTCAACTGATCCAAAATGCTGCAGCAAGGAGGCTGACAATTACAAGCCACAGTGGACATATTTCCTCCTTTTGCAAGATCTACAAGGGCTTCAAAGTGTTGATTGGACCTATAAAGCCTTAAACCTTCTGGGATCAAGGTATGTGAAGGACAACTTGCTTCCACCCATACAGATCTGCCAATTTTCTGAGATCCTCCCCCTGTTACCTGAGGGAGACAGGAAGCAACCAGGGAGACAGTCGTTTGGGCTGTTGTGCCAGGTCTCTGGAGCATCCTCATCCATGAGGCTTACTGGTGCCACCATTAGCAGTGCTTAGATGCCAAGTGTGGACAATCATGACCTTGTCTAGAAACAGATACTGAAAAAACAGTCATGAGGCTCTGACCCACAAATCAAGACAGTCAACAAGACTTAGAAAGAAAATGTTTTCTATATATTGTTGCCAATAAACACTACATAACATTGTTCATTGTTATGTAGTAT